TCGGGCAAAGCAGGCACTGTGCCCCTCCGCGCCAGCAGGGCCAGCAGTGCAGAGGGGTTGGGGGGTGTCTCAAGCTGTGGCAGCGCCTGGCGCCAGGCTCTGCAGTAGAGCTCGGCTGAGAGCAGCAGCCGTGTCACCGGGGGCTTCACATGCTCCTGCGCGTACTGGTCGGTATAGAAGGGCTCCCACAGCTCCGGGGGCACGTGCTCTGTGGGGGCATAGAGGGGAAACACAGGGGTCAGGGTCACCAGATACAACACACACACACACAGAGACCACATGGCCCGGATTAAGAGTGGGTCTGGACCAGGGGGGAAGGCACTGGGAAGGGAGAGAGGGAATCTGGGAGGAGAGTACAGATGTGCAGGAGTTTGCTGGAGGAAGGGGTGACGGCGTTGTAGGCAGAGGGGCCTGCAGATGCAAAGCCCAGGAGGTGGGAGAGAACACCGTGCCTCAGGGCGCTGATGGGCACTTAGAGTGGAAAGGAGGGGAGGCTACCCCCAATCCCAGGCCAGCTGGACTGGCTCTTGTAGGTCCCAGGAAAGACAATAACATCGGCAATCCTAAGAGCCTTCCTGCACTTGCCAGTGTAGACTCACTGAGCCTTACGTCAACGCTAGGAGGCAGCCAGGGCCCAACTGGCAACCCCCATGTTACAAAGGAGGAAACTGAGGCACAGAGAAGGAAAGTCCCTTGGCCCAGGCCAAACAGCTCTTCAACGCCAGGACTGAGGTTAGACCCAGCAAACTGGATGCCATCTCTCAGCCTTGCAGGCAGGGTGAGATGAGTAGGGGGGCACACGGGTGAGCAGGGGAGGTGGGCACACCACAGGCACATCAAGGGAGTTGAGTGATGTAAACCTGGTGATTGAAGGGAAGAGGCAAGGGACAGAGAGGAAGATGGCCAGGGCCTTGCTGGGTCTGAGGGGGAAGATGGAACAGAGGGGGAATGACTGAGGTGGGATGCAGGAGGAATGGGAGGTGAAGGGGTGAAATTGAGGACATGCTTGAGGCAGATTATGTGAAAGGCTGGGGCTTAGGGAGATGGTGAAGTCACATCATAGAGAGAGCCTAAGGTCCCTAAATAGGACAGTGGGAAGAGGCGTGAGGAAGTCCCAGGTGGATGGTGGCCTGGGGGCAGAAATCCACACAGGACCAAGAGTGGAGAGGAGAAAGCCAGGAGGGCCTGGCAGGGGTCAGGGAAGAGATGACTGAAATCAACAGCAGGGAACCTGCCCAGCTCTTGTTCTAATCTGCACAGCTTTTGTACTGTTTTTTTGGAAATAAGAGTCTCTCTGTCGCCCAGGCTGGAGTGCAGTGGCGCAATCTTGGCTCGCAGCAACCTCTGCCTCCTGGGTTTGAATGATTCTCCTGCCTCAGCCTCCCGAGTAGCTGGGATTACAGGCGCGATGCTGCCATACGGGGCTAATTTTTGTATGTTGTAGAGACAGGGTTTCACCATTTCGGCCAGGCTGGTCTTGAACTTCTGGCCTCAAGCGATCAGCTCACCTCGGCCTGCCAAAGTGCTGGGATTACAGGCATAAGCCACCATGCCCAGCCTGTACAGCTTTCTCTGTTTGAGTTTTTGCTGGAGTGCAGTGGCACGATCATGGCTCACTGCAACCTGCAACTCCCAGGCTCAAGGGATCCTCCCTGCCTCAGCCTCCTTAGTAGCTGGGACTGCAGGCGCATGCCACCACACCCAGCCAATTTTTAAATTTTTTGTAAAGATGGAAGTCTCATGATGTTGCTCAGGCTGGTCTCGAATTTCCTGGCCTCAAGTGATCCACCTGCCTCGGCTTCCCAAAGTGCTGGGATTGTAGGGGTAAGCCACTGTGCCCAGCCTTGTTTTGTATATTGGGGTTCTGTGTGTGTGTTTGAAAGAACAGAGTGGGGGCCGGGTGCAGTGGCTCACGCCTGTAATCCCATCACTTTGGGAAAACAAGGTGGGCAGATCTTTTGAGGTCAGGAGTTCAAGACCAGCCTTTGCAACATGGTGAAACCCGATCTCTACTAAAAATACAAAAATGAGCTGGGCGTGGTGGCGCATGCCTATAATCCCAGCTACTCGAGCAGCTGAGGCAGGAGAATCACTTAAACCTGGGAGGCAGAGGTTGCAGCCAGCTGAGATCACGCCACTGCACTCCAGCACTCCAGCCTGGGTGACAGAACAAGACTCACAAAAAAAAAAAAAAAAAAAAAAAA